GGTTTTTGTGTTTCTGGAAAGAGCCCTCAGTACACGGTGGGTCCTGCTGGTGAGCAGCAGCTCCTGAGCTCTGCTGGGTGCTCCTGCTCACAACAGACTGGGGCTGCTTGGGAACCTGTACAAAGCACTTACAGCTCCTGCCCTAACACTGGGAGAAGCAAACAAACCCAAAATCTCACAGCTTACCATGAACCAAGCACTGCTGCAGCCATCCCAGCCAGAATTGCAAGTGTTGGAAAAGAGAGGGGAGGCAGGAATCTAATGGGAAAATAGCACATCCTTCCTGCTCAGCAGCAGTGGTAATTTCTTAACGTTAATGAACATGTACCATGATATGTGATCCCGTGCTAATAAAATCTCCTCTTCTGGCATCCACTTCTCCCGGGGGATATGGAAGCAGCTGAAAATACAGCACACACCTACCCAATCACCACTGGGACTGCTGGATCCTTAAAACTCTCTCAAAGAGGGCTGTAAAAGGAGATGCATTTTCCCCACACTCCCCACGGCAGCAGCAGTCTCAGCTGAGCAATGGCCTCTACTTAGCCTGCAGGTGTCTGGGGTTTTCCAGTTCTAAAACATGGTGAGTGTTTAAAGCTTTTTATTCACAATAGATTTGGATATTGTTGAATCCTTATGACTTTTGTCTACTTAAAAGTCCTTCTTAAGACAGTGGTCAGAAACCAGGAATATGTGGGTCTCCATGAGACAGAAGCAGCCCTGTCTGAAATACATTTTTATCTTATTAAAAAGCATTTACTGCCTGAAAGCATGTTTAATATAGAGCAGTTAATTTTTTTTCTCTCTTCTTTGTAACTATTACCTATGTCTTAATGTATCAGTGGAGCATTTCCTGAATTCACTTTTCTGTTTTGTTTCGGTGCAGGCCCTGCTCCCCAGGGGCCCTTCTCCTCTCTCACTGTTTCTGGAACATTTCTGTCACGGTGCTGCTTTGGGAGCAGGGTGCCAGGTGGAAGCCATGGGCAGATACAACCTCAGCCTGGTCTTCTGTCCTATTTTGGGGGAAATTTTGAGTTTAATTCCTAGCTTTGCCACAGACCTATTGGGCAGCCTTGGACAAAACCTGTCACTAGCTGAAAACCACAAAGGAGGAACAAACACAAAGGTTGCAGAAGGAAAAAAGGTGTTTATGTAAAACTTCCAAAAACCAGGGGGGTCATTGCTGGGACATCAGCCAAGCAAAAATTATAAATTCCTATAAATTACTGAGCTACTTCTCAGAGTTATTATAGCAGAACTGCAAAAGCAGAAATCATATTTTGTTTTCAGTTTCTCCCTGCCTTGTTTCAGAGACCATATTTCTTACAAACAAGGTTCTTATTTCAGTATTCATTAGATTGTCTGTCAAGGAGAGCAGCTGCTGTTGATGAATTGATTAAGACACTCAGGACGGTTCAGCTTAAGGAAGAAAAGACACAACAGATTTCAAAGACATAGAAGGCTGCTGTGAACAATAAACAGCTTTCTTCTCCCCCCACATTCAGGGTGGACAAAAGGCTATGTTTTTAACTGCACAGAAGATTCAGGTTAGAGAGGAGTGTTTTACCATTAAGGTTATTGCACAAAGCTTTGGAGAGCAGCCTGGCAGGACCAGGCACGCGCAGCTCCGAGTGCCACGGGTCCTTCCACACCTACAACCTCAGACGTTTCTCCTCACCTTCCTCATCACTTGGTGACTCCCATTATTTTCAGACAGAAACTCCAGAAGCAAAAGTATTCCCCTTTATTCTGCTCATTTACAAGTCCTCACAGAGAAAGTGGAATAAAATGGCTGAAGAGCTGGACAGAACTCTTGGAATTCCTATATCCATGTAAAAAGTGATCCAGCTGCAAAGAAACTCACAATGTTCTGATTTCAAACCAACAGAGCACTATGGGTACAGATTTCTCATCCTTATTGTTTCTTGTTGTCCAATTCAGAGGCACAATTTACCTGCAACTAGAAAAGCATTTGATGGGAACAGAGTCGATTTATCTACCCAGCCAAGCAAACAGTAATCAGCCAGGAGATAAATAAATGGGTCAACAAGTATTTTGCTCCTGAATCCTCAGGGTAAGAAATCATATACCTAAAGCCCCAAATTGGAGATCCATCACTGTCCAGACAGCAGCACCAAACTATATCTCTATACAGCTGGCATTTCCAAGAATTATTGGAGAATTTCCTGCTTGAACAACACACAGGGCAAAGTTATAATTTGTTCCCTATGAAAACTATATTGAATGATTTTCCCATAGAATTAGCTGCAGGAACTAGATAGAAATAAATAGAATAAAATAATAGAATATTTAATTCAGCACACACAGCAAGTTTTACCAATCTGAGCATGAGATGGTAAACAACAGAATTGCAACTACACAAACTCCTACTTCTGTGTCTTGGGAATTGGCTCCTGGCTTCAAATTACTCACTGCTAGAAAGCAGTTTGTTCCCATCCACCTAATCAGCACCTGACTTTTCTGCAGTGTTCAAGCAAACTGAAGACAGATGGGCTGTAGCAATAGAAAGGGAAAGAACTGCAAAACTTTCAAGTAACTATTTAAGAAGTAAACTAAGTGCAATTCTTCACTATTGTCCTGTGGTGGGAATTTGCTGCTTTAAAAACAAATCACGTATGAGAAATTAAGGGATATATGCTAAAATTACTGCGGCTCCCAAGTAATATGAATCCATGGTTACTGTGTCGTTAAAAAAAAGGTCTTTTCTCCTATTTATAAAGCAGAGAGCTCCAGTGCAGCCCAAGTGCAAGAGCCAGCAGACACAGTGCTCCAAGTGGCTTCTGGAACTGCAAATGATGCAGCAGCACAATTCCCTGAGCAAGACAGAGGCTGTGGGGACCCAGTGCAGCTTTGGAGAGCCCCCAGCCATGTCCACATGACACAACCCCCACCTGTGCCCCTCTGCCGGGCATTTATTAAAGGCAGGCCCCAAATCTTCAGATAGTCTTGTCAGCAGAAAACATTTGAAGCAAGGACAAAGGTAAAACTAAAATTAAATTAAACTAAATGGAGCCTGCAGGTTTCATGGTTTCAACCAAGGCTGAGACAAGACACAAAGAGCAAAAGGTGCCTTAGGCTTGTGGTTTGAGCACTTCAGCACAGTGGCACAGGAAACTTGATCTTTAATGGATGGATTTTTTGAAGTCAGAATAAAAAGTCCTTCATCCACCAACATCTCTTCTCAGAAGTGCTGCCCTAGGTCTGCTTGCACCGAAGTAATTGGGAATTTCCCAACAGCACCACTGTGAGCTGGACCCTTTGATTCTCTAATTGGGAAGGCAGAACACTCAGTCTGAGCTGTCACCAGTCCAGTGAAGTCTTGAAAATGTTCAAGAACATGTAACTCACAAAGCTCAAAATACAGTGTTCTCAAGGTTAAAATCAGGGCACCCAGCATCTAGAACAAGTCAGAAAAACTCTGTGGAAAAAAAGAAAATAGTCTGCTGAAAGTACTCTACCTCTGTCGAGATGTCTTGACATTTTTTTGAAGCCAAAATCTTGACTTAGAAACTGAAGAATTAATCTGGAAGCAGAACCCTTTCATATGACATCTGTTAAGAAAACCTGTCTTTATTAATCCTTCAACCAAGCCTTTATGGCACCCATTTTCAGTTAGTCAGATAACCATGAAAGCCCCTGCACTGCAGAACTCCTGGGTCAGCTTTCCTTAAGGACAAAATACTAACTGGGGCATCATCACTCTCTACAGAATCATCAATAAATTCCTCCCAAATTATTATTCCATTACAGCTGCCCTGTGCTGACATCAGCAAACCAAAGATATTGCTTTAACTTCCATTAAATCATTTCCCTGTGAGGCAGGGAACATGGATTTTATGAAAACCTGAGACCACAAGCTCCTACAGAGTTGTGAGAATCAGGCTCTGACTTCCAAAGGGAAGATTTGGGAAGCAGTGGAATAAAGCACTTACCTGGAATGCTGTCTCCTCTTCACAGGATGGATCTGGACATTCATTACCACGTGAGAGCAACATGTACATAGCACAACACTGCTCTGTGGTTCCTGCATTTGCACTAATGAAATATCAGCTCACAGTCAGTCTCAGAACTATGAAACTGCTCCAACATTGCTGCTTCAAAATCCAGGCGATGCAGAAATCCTGCAGGGCACTCAGACTCCAGGTGAAGGGAAGGCAAGACTGGTTTTACACTTGTAAAACAGAGTCCCCTCTTCTGTTTTCAATTCATTACAGGCACTTTTCAACAGCAAGTTTCAAAATATTAGAATCAATTTTGATAGCATTACTGAGAAAGCTACTACTTTTGGATATAGAGCAAATCAGCAATCTACAAGAAAAAGCAGCAATTTCACCATAAAGTGGTGACACATTGAAAAGAAACTGTCCAGGTTCCCTCACTTGGATTATGACATGACCCACAATTCCAAAGGAATTAAATCATTATATGTATGATGGATGTATGCTATTTCACACGCGAATCTGAACGGTTTCACACATCTGAAATACAGAACCACATCTGAAACACAGTAACACAAACAACATTGCTCTGCACAGCCAAACTGGGTCGCTGTGTAGCACCAGATCTCCCCGACGTGAGATTCCATCGCCAGGGAGGAGCTGCTGCCACGCCTCCAGAATCTTCCACACAGCTGGGCTGCAGCTGCAAGCACCACTGGACTCTGCTTCTCTTCCACAGGTTTAGGGGTGAGGGGAAGATGGAGCATGTAAAACACAAAATAAACCAGTTCCCCTAAATGGAACTGCAGGACAGGGTGGCAGGGAGGGTGTCACCATCACAGGATCTACCGTGTGCTCACACAGATCCTGCAGCCACACACTGCATTAGCTCCTGCTGCTGTTTGCACCTTGTCTTATGTGAAAATGTACCAAACCAAACAGTAAAAACAGTGTTTCAGTCTGTCACTTCCCCAGCCTAATGATCTGCAAATCTTCCATCCCAAGTGTCTAAAGTTATTGGTATATAACATTCAGCCAAGGTAATATCAAAATATATTTTATTCTGGACCTCTTTCAGATCTGATTCAAATTACAGTTGTCAAAGCAATACAATGCAAAGGGAAACTGCAACAGAAAATGTGCCTAGAAGGGATATAAGGGCCTTGGGGACAAATCATTGTGATGTAGAACCAAAATACATCATAAAGTGTAATTAACATGGTCCAGGACAGTATAGAACATCTATATCAGTCTTCTTTAGACAATTATCATGAAAACTGAACAATAAAAGTCCTTTAAACAAGTACAAAAAACTGTCATGGGCTGGTTTACACTTTTACAACAGTTGTAGTTTAACTGGATAACTGAAGAAATGATGCAGACATTTTAATCCAGTGCTATAGGTAGGCTCACAGAATTAGACCCAAAGGATTTGTAACTCCAAATGAAACCATTACAACTACAATGTCAATGTCAGGAGAGAGAGAAAATTACTTCTGTATTCTAGAATTACTGTTCTGCACACTGCAGTCTGTTGAGGACAAGATTGCAAAGTACACTGGACTAGCAACAACATGCAGACTGTTTTCTTGTATTTACCCACAAATGTCAAAAAACATTATGAAGTAAAAATGAATGATTATTTAAAAATAAAAAACAAAACAAAACAAAAACATGCCTCAAGTTATTGTCAAGCTTCAAACTTAAAGGCAGAGAAAGCGAATTATGTACTCAAAACTACTGATCTGAAGCACTATTAACACTAAATCTGCAATCCACTCGAAATGGCAGATTTTCCTGGTTCGTCTGCCTCCCACCAGACTGACAGTGAAGACAGTCACACTTTCACAGCTCGTGGTATTTCAGAGCTTTCTCTAGAGGGAGAAGTGAGGACTGCTCCATGTCTCTCTCCCTACGGAAAATGTCAGGGATCTTGATGGAGATTTACTGCTGTCTCCCGAAGCCGCATTTGCTGCTAACATGCCACAATGTTGCTTCTGCTTTCTTCAGGCGTCTGGAGAGGGTGGAAGTGATCCCACCGGGGAATGGCTCTACAGGGCTTTGGGAAGGGAGGAGCTATCCTGCTCTTCAGCCAAAAAGGAACTGGGCTAAATCCAGCAGGCCCTGCTCTGGCAAAACCCCACGGACACGGGGGACGAGGCTGATTTTATCCGCACCGGGGTTCGGCACGGCGCCGCCAGCGCTCGCCCTGGCAAGGGTGGAGTGACAGAGTGGGATTTTCGGGAAGTAAAAATTGCAAAAATCAGGTCCCAAGGCTCCCCCCTCTTTGCTGAACACACAACCTTGTATTTACAGGCTGAACCCCCCGGTCTGCAGTGGCAATGAAGCTCCTTCAATGAATTAAAGGTGCCAGCTGCTGAGGTCGCTCTGCTGGCAAACCGGCACGGCCGCGCGGTGCCACCCACTGCTCTCCCTGAACACAAAGGACATTCTCCATCAGACGCCCCAGCATGAGGTAAGCAGTGTAAGGAAAAAGGAGTGCGTTTTAAAATGAAAATCAATTAAAATTGGTAGAAATCTTTGGCCTTTCTCTCAAGATGCATTAAAGTGTCACGAAATCAAGAAACATGCTTCGAAATGCCATGTCGTTCTGACTCTGGTAACTACTACCTCCCCTCCACCCAACCCAGAAAAAGAGGCACTTTTAGTGTTTCATATAAGATTTCCAATCATCTAGTAGACATGCTAAATAACCCTGCACAATGGTAGTCCCAGAATAAACTCAGTTTATCAACATTACAAAGAGTCTAAAAAAGCTTTTATGAAGACCTAGATATTCTCTTAACTACACTAAAAAGTCCACTGGTTGGGAATCTTTACATCAATTTAAAAATGCAGAAAAAGGTGAAGTAAAAATAGAAAAAGACAAACTCTACAGAAACCTGGATCTGGTCATGCAAAAATGACAAACGGGATTCTGAGATGGATGCACAGAAAGACAGCGAACTCAAGAGCAGTTCATTTCTTACCCCATCATTAATTCTGAGCCCAGCTTTTCCCCTTCCTTTTATCCTCTGTTTGGATATTTGCCTGTTATCGTGTTGAGCTGATAAAAATAGGAATGACTCCATCCATGAGACTGAGCACGCACGTACACGCTACACAAAGCCAGGGCCTTGCTGCCATTTGGCTTCCCCTTTGAAAGGAGCAATTTGGACAGTCTACCCCAGCCCGGAACACGAGGCCTTTGTGTTATAAAAACGACAATTAACGTCACGGTTCTGTGGTGTTTTTGTCTGGTTTTTGGTTGACAGGGTGGCAGAACCCGGCGTGCGGCGGCTCCGGGCGCGCAGGAGCAGGAGCAGCACTGTGGCATGCGAGGCAGGACAGCAGGGCAGCTACGGCTGGAGCTCGGCTTGGGGACACCGGCCTGGGGACACCGGCCTGGCCCCGTGGCAGTGGGACACCTCAGCTTGGGGACACCGGCCTGGGGACACCGGCCTGGCCCTGTGGCAGTGGGACACCTCAGCTTGGGGACACCGGCCTGGGGACACCGGCCCGGCCCCGTGGCACTGCTGGCCCTGGCCGGGGCTCTGCCCGCAGCGCTCGAGCCAACGGAGCCGACGTTCCCGACAGCCCTGTCCTGGACACGCTGGAGCTCTGGTGTTCTCTATTTCTGAGTGTGTGATGCTATGCTGAAGCAAATTGCAACCAAAACAGCTGATGATTGAGAAAGAGGAAAATGGCAATACCCTAAAACATGGCTGTGTGATTTTGCAGCTATGTCACAGAATTCCACCACAATTCGGTTTAGATTGGCTGAAAGAATCATCCAATAACTTTTATGAAAATGAATAAACTGTCCATATTAAAATACAAAAGTACTATCAAGAATCACTTCTGACTTTCAGATTTAAATTCAGTGCAATTGACAAATGCATTGCTAAATGAAAAATGCAGCTTAAACATACTCAAAACATTTGTGTCTATTCCTGGGAGCACAGTTTAAAATTATTGCACAGATTTTTTTTTTATTTTTATTTTTTTTTCATTAAATGACAGAGGTCAGCCACAGTCATGGACCTCCAGCAATAAAAGCAATATTTCAAGTGCCAGACACTCAATATATTAGGTTTCCTACATATTGTAACTCACAGGGTAATTGCTCTAAACATTTCCAATATGTTCCAAAACCCTAAAAATAGCTGGCACAGAACCACCACAGATAACTGTCTTTATGGATATGACTTGGTGTTGGTTTTAAACACTGTGTATGATAGCAGTATAATCCTGGGGTGTATATAAACCATGTATTATTGTTGACTCGTCTTAACCACTGGCAAATTGCTACCCTACCTTAGCCAAACTCAGACTTGCTTCAAGTCATGTTTATTTCATGGAAATAGCAGAAATCGATGCCCAAAGAACAATGGTTAAAATGTCAAAGCTGCATTATCTCAATTTAATGAATTTATACTTAACTTTGAGGGGGGAAAAAAACCCCAAATGAATAAAAAAATAGGTTAGAGACTAACAATCATAAGTCACAAAATTAATTGTGATTGAAATAGTGTTATAAAACCGATAACTTTGCAAAGCTCTGTAATATAAACCATTCCTTAAGTAAAATGTCTGTGACATAAATTTGACAACCTCTCTTTTTATAAATTTACACTCTTGGAATCTTATGCAAGACATGATGCAACCTTTTTGACTACACATACGCATAAACACAACCTCATGCTACCATTTACAAATAAAATCACTATTAGTATACTTTTAATCACATGAGCAGAAAAAGGTTTGCCATATACATCTGTCATTGTAAGAAAAATACTTGATATTGTAAACAGAGTAAAAGACACTATATAGTAGTGATTATTAAAAAAATAGCAGCTTACATCTACCCTATATTTGGAAAAAAATGTAGTCACAAGATACAATAAACTGCAGGACTGGAGCAGCAGGGGAATTAGTGCAAGTATTCATCTTTTAAATAAGCTGAATCACTGCTATTAAAATAAACTTGAAGCAAGTCCTCTGTTTAAGATCTTTTTTTTTTAAATCTAAGGTAGTAAACATTTTGCCTCTTAATGGCAGTGTTATCAAATATATGCCAAAGATTTTATTTTAATAAAGAAAAATTACATGAAATACTTTTAATACTGGAGTTTGGTTACAATTATACATCTAAGCTCCTACAAATAATGATGGGCAACTCTCAAAGAAGCTGTGGCGTGAACCCTTGTCCAGAAAGATCTTAACCTCTTAAACAAAATCCCCCAGCTATACTTTGCTCCTTTTCACAATAGTGCACAATTTAACCATACTTTAGCTATGGTCTTAAAGCAACAGAAGATGCATTTTTCCTCTTTTATTTTTTTCTCCTTTTTTTTTGCACCCCCGTTTGTTTTATTTTTTCCTGTGTTTTTGTGCCCTTATGTTCTTAAGTTTGGCAGAATTATGTCCCAAATAAGAAATTACTGCATTTCAGCCATGTCACCAGAAAATCAAACAAAGCATTATACCCATTTCCGTCCTGCTTTGTAGATGAGAAGGACGTGGAATATCACACTGCAAAGAAGGATTTTTTTTTTCTTCTCTCTCCCTAATCCCTTTTCCACCCTCCCTCTGTTCACAAAATTGTGCTCTGGGAGCCACAAAATGTACCAAACATTATCAGGTTCAAACTACCTCTTCAAAGAATGCATCAAAACATGTTTCAAAGAAACACCTTTTTTTTTTTTTTTTCAAGGTGAAAAAATATAAACAAGAAACTAAATCACTCCCTTACTTCATGCATCCGTAAACTTAACCAAAACAAAACAGAAAACCCAATGTTTAAAAGCAAAGAAAAAAAACTACTGCTGCAGATTTCTGTAAGTCCATTTTCTCTGTACACACAAACTGCTCAACTACTGAGAAGGAAAACAAAAATACCCCACAAATCCACGTGAGAATGGATTTCATGGGGGAAGGGGTAATGAAGGCTGCCATTAGTATCTTCTGATTTTGGTATGTATATGGGTCTGCTCTTGTATATGGTATATTTCTCTCTCTCTCTCGCTCTCTTCTGTTTTTCATATCCAAAAACCTTTAAATGTTATTTTGGGGCACAGCAGATTCCAGCACTTGGTGAACAGGATTCACAAGCTGTGACAAAACTCTGTCATCCTCTTCAGGGTGTAATTTTTTTTTTTTTTTTTTTTCTCCTTTTTTTTTTTTTTTTTTATATACAGTATATGTATATATTTCTTTTACATTTGGCTGTAGTGGACTGGCCATGGTTCGATTGGGACTATAGCAGTACATGGGTCAGGGACAGTCATTTTGGCTATGTACACATTCATAGTCGGTCCATGGCTTCCAACTAAGAGCGCTATTTCCGGAGGTCTAGTACACAAACCTGCAAAGAGAGAGACACACATGCAGCAGCTGCACAGCACCCCGCGCTCCCACAGCTCTGGCTAAGTGTCAGAGCAAAGCCTGCCACGTGGGTTCTGTCAGCTTAAACTTGTATCTGTTATCAATGATTAAATAATATCAAAATGACCAGGTGAGCCCTTTATGAGCTAAGGGCACTGCTGCCTCCAGAATTACTATCAGAGCAGCAACAACATCTTATGTAAGCTGTTTGCCTGTTATTTAATACTGTGAGGCTGAGCACTGACTCGAATTTCATTTTATATTTTTACAAACTAGATTCAAGTACATGGACAAGTACTAAAATAGATCAGAAAAAACAGGTAACGGTGTACAAATTCCAGTTTTAGTCTTCCCAAAATCTCCACTAAGTAGTGCTGCTGGGTCTGTCAGATATAGAAATCTATTAATAAATATAACCACAGACAAGATAACACCAGGTGCAAGCACATTTAAAATAGAGTGGAGAAGAAGGGCTTTTGCTAGCAAACAATATAGAACACATTAAATCCAACATTTTTTAAAATATCAGAAACTAAATGAAAACAAATCTATTCCAAATACAATCAGCCTCTTGGGCCAAATTAATTGGAGGACTGGAAAGGTTAAACAGCATGCATAAAAAAGGGTTGTCTGGGGGGAGTGATAATCGATTTCTGCTCAGGATATGCCTTGGGCCTTTGTCCTTTTATGACATTGCCTATACTTACAAGACTAAAATGATATAATGACCAATCAAAATTAATTCTCTAAAATTTAGGCTTCTTAAAATCCAGAACTTCCTATTTTGTGATTTGAACTCTAACAAAACAACCTTACTTACCAGCAAGGAGCATTGAGGAGGGAATTGCTTTGGCACCTGTGTTAAGATGCCACCTGAAATTCTGCACTACTGAGCTGCCAGGATTGCTTTTTGCTGACGTTTGTTAAAGGAAGCTACAGCACTTCAAAACACAATTCCCTTATCAGCCTTATTTTACTTTAATTTTACTTTTCCTTAGGCTTTCCTCTTCTTTCTTTGCAAACCATGGTGAGACAGAGGCAAGCAAAAGCCCAGGCCTGTGCTCCTTATGGAGACCCTGCACATTCCCATCCCACTGCAGCTCCCTGCAGGGCAGTGTCAGAGCAGCCAGGAGGTGATGCTCCAACACCCTGCAGTGAAATGACAGTGGGAGCATTCATGATTAGTTAAACATGATTTTATTCCCTGCTTTTCCTAGGCAAAGTAAGCAGACTGATATTTATATATAGCTGCTGACATTTTTAGGAACTTTTTAATTACAAGCATTTAGAAATCTGCACTTTGTTTTGCTGTTGAATGCAATGCAGAAGGTATTTCATTCCTGTCATGCACTATAATAATATCACCTACACTGAGCATCTTCCCTCGAAAAGGGCAGAGAAAGAAAAACAAATTTGTTTCCAAGCCAGCCACACTGAACACACTGACACAGTAGGCCCCAGAAGGAACAGAAAATATAAATTGGAGATATCTACACCTTCTGAGGTTCTTGGACTGGAATGAAGATATTCTCCTTAAAATACCACAGGAGGGTTACAGTTGAAAACCTACAGCTGAACTGGCTGTATTCAATCTTCAGCTAGAGAAGGAAATTTTGTCTCCATTGTTGGTTATAAGATTTCCAGATGATGTTTGTTATTGGAAAACCAACCAAATCAAGCAACACTTACTGAACCATCTGAAGCACTTGCTCCAACTTTGTCTCCTGCTGCATTCCAGCAAACCTCAAAAATCCCTCCTGTTCCCCGATAACTGTGAACTAGGGCACCTGTCTAAAAAAGGGACAAGGCAAGTAATTAGTACAACAAAATCAAAGTGAGCAAGCACAATTTGTACGTGTAAAATTTCCTCACTGTTTTTAAAAGCTAAACTTCTCAGAGGAATGTGGTCCAGAAGAGAATTGTGGACAGTCTCAGCACCTTGTTAAGGAATGTGGCACAACCATTGCATCTGAGCTCCTGTGTTTGATGGGCAAAACTGGGGATGGTCACAACTACTTCCAATTACTAAAACGAGCCTTTCAGAAATTAATACCCAATGCCCAGTAGCCAGAGATTGCATCACGCCTGACAACAAGGTCTTTAGACTTTCAAACACAACAAGCACTTTTTTTCTGCCAGAAATACAAAACAAGTAATAGTGTCCTTTTTGAGAAAGTTTCATAAAAATACTTTGTCATCATTATCTTCCCTCACTTTGCATTCTCTTGTTTGTCAGTGAAATTCAATGAAACAGCCAGTCAGATTAGTATGTCTACACCCAGTCATCATTTTTCACAAAAGCCCCTGTTTATCAAGAATTTAAAGTTCAGAGTTAACAAAGACTATTTTTGGATGAAATATGTTCTTGGAGAAACTTTTTTCAACGTGGGGTTTTGTTGGTGAGTTTTTGGTTGGGTCTTTTTGGGTTTTTTTGTCCTTTTGTTTTTTTTTTTGCTAAGACAATGTAAAGACAAGTATTACCTCACCACAGGCAACCATTCAAAGAGAGAAATTAAATGTACAATCATTAAAAGAAATTATCTCAGAACAAAGAGAAAACCAGTGTGTTAGATGACAAAGCTCATTGTGGCTGAAGTATAATGGATAAACAAAGGTTGGAAGGATGGAAAAGACCAAAATACAAATTTCTCAACACAGACAAGAGCAATACCTGTGTATTCCAGATGTGTACACATTTATCAAAGGAGCCACTGGCCAGGTACCTGCCATCAGGACTGAAAGCTACACTGTACACAGGTTCTTGATGTTTTGTCAGAGTATGAATACAAATTCCTCTGTCTACATCCCATAACCTAACAGTAGAATCAAAGGATGCACTGTCAAGGAAAAAAAAAAAACCAGATTAATTACATCTCAATTCAACATATTTTTGTTGCTAATACAAATAGAATATGATAAAGTATCTTACATGCTTCAAAACATTCTGTGAACTTACACTTACAGAAAGTGCGGTAAAAACAATGTGTAACAAGCATTTAAAACCAGGATTAAATAGTACCTTGCTAACATAAGATTGGCATTTGGATTATTTGTTCCTGGTCCTGTAGGACTCCATTTGATAGTATAAATTTCTTTGTTGTGTGCTTGTAAATCATGGACACAACTGTCTTGTTTCATACTCCAGATCTATGATAAAAAGGGAGGAAAACACAAACAAGTTAGCACAATATTGTATTAAAATACATGTTTCATGTTTTACATGTTTCTCCTGTATCATTTCCAGACTGACTTATCTTTTAGGCCACTCAAAACATTTGCTACAATTGTTAGGTTTCTAGAGTAATTATGCCAAGTTTTATTCCAGGACCTTTCATTCTCTAAGTCCCCAGAGAGGTGAATTAATAATAAAGGTGGCTGCCTGTAGATACCAAACTGCCTGAGTGAACTGCAAACCCCTTGAAAAGTGCAGGGATGAGAGCAGATGCTGAAATGAGAAGAGCAGTACGTAAATGTTCATGTCTGAGTTGATAAAATATCATGGTCCTATTTTTAAATGAACTTGCTACACAGACTGAGTGAAATAAAGGGATAGTAGAGACATTTTCTGTTTTCATACAAATCCAGAGACACAAATACCACTATGGCATTTTCCTGACATATTAGTATTTGCATTGCCAGATTTCAGTGTTCAGTGCTTCAAAGAGTTCATTAGAGGACTCCAACTCCTGTATGATCACGCCCAATAAACAAAATAACTTTATTCTATTAAGAGTTTATATGGCTTCTACAGAAGGGATTTGGGAAGGCTTTTATATGGCAGAAATTTTAAAGAGTAGATAACCACCTGAATGCTATTTTTAACAATATCTGTCTCAGTAATGCTTTTAGTTCACTTTTTGTTGGGAAAAGCTACCAGGAGCATGTTTAAGCCCAACCATGTTAAGCTGCAATTGAGGTGCATGTCTAAACAAATGGTGCTTTTCAGAACTGCTGCTTTGCTGAAGAGGAAATTGATTTTCAATGTGCAGACAGAATTGAAATTGTATTTCCAGTTTAATTGATGGGATCAAAGTCTAGCCTCTCTTCCCAAAACTAGCATAGATGAAAGAGTCTGTATCAGTTGCCCTAGAGAATGTTAAGCTGCAGATAGGAATTGGCCAAGTAAATAAATCACTAGGCACCTTCCATGTGCTTCCAAACCTGGTATTTATTCCTTCTGCCATTGAAAAGTAAGTGATCCACAAGTGATTAGTGATGTGTAGACTTAGCCTCCAGCACGTGGCTTTTGAGCTAATCCTGAACAAAACAGTACCATTCTTTCCAGCCTGAGCTCCATTTGAAACAGCCACCAAGAAGTTAATTGCCTGAATCCCACAAATGCTGACGCATTCCCAGTTGTCACCTCTACTCATGGAGAGGCAGCAGCAACAGCAGCTCAAGCTCCAGACTGGAATTCATCACTCTGGAGTTTTAGCTGTTTAAGTATTAAATACCTGGCTTAAGCTGGCTATTTTGACTCCATGCACTGCCAGTGGAGAACAACTGATGCTCTCAGGGGATTCCTCATCACACTTAAGACACTTAGGAAAGGATAACTTGCTCTTCAGCAGTGCTAGACACTGCTGACTGGAGATGTCTAGACATCCAGCTTTAGACTGGAGGCTTAATGCTTAAGTGTTTGTATTTAGATAAGGTGATTTCCCCTGCCAGAGCCTGACCGTGTGCCAGGAGGAGGGATATGTGGCTACTCATTCAGCCATTCCCTGATTAAACAGCAGTGAGCTGCATGGAATTAACTGTCCCAAGGGTTACTGGCAGGACAGTGCTGTCGATGTAAAAAATGTATCCTGAAATTCTACCAAGCACAGGGCTGAAGGTCCCAGTGAATATAAAGCATCAGAACCATGGAAGCAGCACAGGCCTGTCAGGCATGAACAACCTCATTTCTGCTGGTGGCAGGTTTGTAGGGATCTCTAGAGTGCCCTGAAGTCACATGTGTAAGCTGCAGTGTCCTCTGCACTCACAAGTTTGCCCCTGTTCTACAAGAAAGCACATAGCTGAGAATCACTTGGAGGACAAGTGTAGGTGTGACTGAAAACTGCAGAATGACTCCTGATGAACTGGAAAAATCCAGGCCAGCACATGGCCTCTGAAGAAACAACATGCCAAAGATTTTAACTAGAAAGAAAGGGAAAGCAGAAGAAAACCAGGAAAGGAGCAAGTCACCCATTCTTGAATGTGCTACCTGATATGCATTCCAAATTTTTTCTTTCAACCAAAAGCAACCATCAAGCGTGACAGTTTAATGATTAATGACCTGATTCTGTGAACAGCTAAAAGCACCTAATAAATCATGCTCCAAGTCTCAGGCTGGCAGCCTGTAACAAGTCCTCTGGACCAAAGCTTGGCCCTGATTAACAAGGATTTCTAGGATTGCCTAACCTTGTTATATTAAAAAAGAATGAATATAGGGCAACACAGCAAGTACAGTGATAGTGCTGGAATGTCCAGGCTAATGGAGTGTATTCCAGAATCTACAAAGACAAGGCCCAGCCCCAGAACTCCCATTACCTTTAGAGTCATGTCGTCAGAGCAGGATGCCAGCAGATTACCAGTTGGATCCCATTTGATTGCATTTACTTCATTCTAAAAGTGAACAAAGAGAGTAAGTTGGAGTCTTCTCCTCCATTACAAAATAAGCTTACAAAAGATAAAGCTGGACAGCAGTTATGAATATTTGCATAATTGCCAGGATTTTAACACTTAATTTTTATTCATAGCTTTGCCTTCAATAACAACTAACAGCTTTTTGCTATCTATTTATCACATTTCCCATACATTCCTGTACACCACCTGGTAAAGTCTTGAAGTTACCATGCTGCTTCTCCTAAAGCTCACTCCTGCATCCTGACACTGGCAAAACAAGCTGCACATGGGGGTGAAAATTGTTCTGAACACAAAGATTGTAATTGCCATAAGTCCTTAACCATAACTACCTATGTGTGCATCTACTGCCTGTAGCCAATTACACAAGTTCTGGGTATTGGTAAATTTACTGAGCCCCCAATCTCTAACTAATAAAAATATCACAGAGCAACCCCCTTTTTGCAGTACTTACTGTGTGACCCTGGAAGGTTTTGATGGGCCTATCTTGTCCTAGTTTACAAACGTGAATACACATGTCTGTACTGCAAGAGGCAAATGTGTTGTTACTCTGCCAATCAACATCTAATGCTGGTGCTAAAATAAAAAGAAAGATATTTAAAACTTAAAATAAGTACACACTCTGCAGGAATTTGATATACAAATTTAGCATGCACCACCTTGGAACAAAAGCCAACAGGAAGCAATCATTAACTTTACACCTGTTCTGAAGATAAACACTATGAACAGTAAGAAATGCAGCTAAAACAAGTCTTACACAAAATGGAACAAATTTAATGTAAGTCATCATAATATGGAACATATTAGAAATCAAAGCTATACAGAAGACAGTGCAGCAGGACATCAAGCTGTAGTTAAGTCATCTATAAACAAATCTCAGGAGTCAGCACAAGAACAGGTTCCCACAACTTCACACATCATCATGCATGAGCTCATCTGCACCAGCAGCTCCTGCACACGGATGGGTGAGGATTTATTTCCTTTCTTAATTCCAGCATTGTAAGCTGTGGTAACTCGAAGCTTGATCATGGGCAACACGTTCCATTTGATCAAGCCAGCTATTTATGGCAGATAGCACAGAGAGAACTGCTTGGAGTAAATGCTGAGTTGATGTTTCTGACTGCTGTCATGGCTCTGGAAACGTGGCGCCGGAGGAACAAGGAGTGGGAACGAGACATGTTTCTTAAAGGCCCTTCAACGACATGTCTGCCATCCTCTCCATTCTGTCTTCCAGCTGACTCTGGCAGGATTGCTCAGCATGCAGCCCACAAGGCAATTTGTCTGACCTCCTGCACTCCCACCCCAGCTGGCCAGTGAATGCTGTCAGCTGGTTTGTGGCCAAACAACCCAGGGACAGGGGAACAATGGGATACGGGGTGGGATCTCTGCAGCAGCAGGATGAGAAATGCAGTCCTTAGGTGATGAACACTAATCCCTGGGGCCTGCCCACATGATTTGTCTGCCAGCATACTACAGAAAGTCAGGAATACGTGGATTATTTATCTCCTGTGACTTTGTTGGAACTGCAATAAAACTGTGAGTTATAAAATCAGAACAAATCCATCTTTGTTTACATTCTCAATGTTCCAATACGGGACTATAAGTAACCAAAGACCACCTGTAAGATTTTAAAATTATGCAAATAAGCACCACAAACATCAGATTTTTTTATTTATTTAAAATTTTGTCTTTTCAGATGACAAATCTGAATGATGAAATCAAGACTTACCAGAATGAAAAGGAAACTGCTGCTTGGCTTCGCCAGTGTGGGCATCCCAAATAATTGTGGTCTGTGTTAAACAGATAAATTTACAATAAAAAAACTTGTACAAATTGCTGATTTCCCCACAACTACCACCACTCACAAGTATGAGAATACCTGCCCTGCTCACCATCACCCAAACCTGCTCTTGATTATACATTTCTAGAGTTTGATCCAGTACTAAAAGAAATAGTAGTAGATGTACAGAAAACAGTAGAAAATTTAAGATTGCATTAGAAAGATGTTTAGCCACAACATTTTGGGGTCTAGAGGGAAGAAGGAATTTGTGGGCTTTTAAACAGTTTTATCCCCTTAGTCCTATTTATATATTCTCATAATCCATTCCACACACCTATTTTAATTTCAAATACTTGTATATTCAAATTGTACTATCAGCTACTCACTTGTTCCTAAGGAGATGCTATTAACAGTTAGTCACATACTGAAAAATTTAAGGGTGTAATTTCATTCTATGTTGTTCTCTGCCAATACTTTCATAACCTTCTGGTTAAAGAAACCTTACATGACAAAATCAGTATCTTGTATGCCAATATCCCTGCCCTACCTCAATGACCAATGAAAATTTTGACAGCAAATTCAATGGAAGCATGAATTGACCACACAAAATAACTATGGAAAAGGAGCCTAAGGTTGGATCCTTCTCTCTGCTAAAGCAGAATATTTTCCAAAGCATAATCTCAGTTTTTCTGAGAAGTTTTATTGACTGAAACAAGGTTTCTAGTTCTTCCTTAATTATTTTCCTGCAAATGAAAGCTGTACCTCCACAAATATTTAAAAACTGGCATAACCATCACAGATGCCAAAAGAGTAAACACATCCTTTCCATATTTTGAGACATTAAATTTTTCTTCCTTTGTGCCAGCACAAGCATTTATAAAGCTGGCTAATAAAGCAAACCAAGTAAATGCATGCAGGGAAAAAAAAAACCAAATAAAGGAGAAAATTTACTACTTTGCAGTGACACTGCCAGTTTTAAGAGGTTGTAATGAGGTTTCAGTTTGCCACTCTAAGAGAGAACCTGTGCTGACTTCTGCACCTTGAATCAGTTACAGAGGAAAAAATCAACTCTCCTTACTCTTGCTATAGTCTATTTGATTCTCTGAATTCACTTTAAGTACATTTCCCTTCACTCTGTGCCCTTCCTACCACTCATACATAAAACCTCTCACACTAACAACAGCTCTGAGCTGAAAGACCTTGTAAACCTGACTTTGTTTAGAGATGTGAAATAAAACCCAGACAAACAATAAGCTCCGTGGCATTACACAACTGGCACCTCCCCAGTCACATATATCAACTTCCCTTAAGTTCCAGCTCTAATCTTTATAATCATTCTCAGCTTTGACTGATATCCAACTCAGCCTCGACCTACCCCTCTAGCAGAATTGTTTTCCTAAGGCTTTGCTTGAAGTGCTTCAGTGAATTTAGATGGTTTAGTTTTACAAAGGTTTAATGTTTCTGGTTTCAATACACTGCAATCTAGGAAATTAAAATGTCTCAATAAAGTACTATAAAAACCAAGGAAACATAGCTAAGCATAACAAGATCTTTGTAAGCACATATTTACATCCCATGCCTTTAGTTTCATTTACTTACTTTGCACAGTTTTGCTATTTTGCTTACAGTTAGATTATAACGGTGAAGGAAAGAATTTTAATTTTACCAAAGATTATCTCACCTTGTCCACTCCTGCACTTAAAATGAAGTTTCCTTTCTTGTTCCATTTTAACGCAAATATAGGACCTTTATGTTGCCCTAAGGTGCTGGCAAGATTACCTGAAAATTTATATTGATATGAATACATTAAAAAATAAAAAACTATGCCGTGAGCCACAATATAGGAAAATATATCGTAAATTAAAAAAGTATTTTGCTTACCATCTTTAGTCCATATCCTCGCAAAGCCATCATAAGACCCAGTTGCTAGAAGTGTACCTTCACTCTGCCAGCAAAAAGGTTATTTATTTATTTATTTATGCTTAACTCAAAGCTAAAAGCACAAAGCAAATTTGAGGTAGAATAGATGTGAATAGGATTTATGATATTTTATTGACTGAAAGTTTTTAGAAAGAAGTTCCTGAAGTATAACAGAAGTTACAACGCTGATCAAAACAGAAATATTTCAGGTGCTGCCACAGAGGCCAGCGCTGCTGTCACCTAAGGTGTGACCATGAGGTGCTGTAGGCAGGGCTTTCCCGGGAGCACTGGGAGCGCTGCCACGGGCACTTACGTTCCAGTCCAGCGAGGTGACGTCCTTGTTGCTGGGCACATCCTGCCCCCCTTCCCGGATGCAGTGCCGCAGCACCAGCTGCGTGGAGCCGCTCGTGCTGTTCTCGCTCAGGTTCCAGATCCGCGCTGTCGAATCGCCAGACCTGCAGGACACCCCGTGGGGACAGAGATCCTGCTGCTCACACATGGGCCATCCCGCTCGTTCCATGTGCAAACGCACATGGATCAGTGTAAGGGCAGTCTGTAGTGTTATATAACGTGCAATATACCATAGACCCATAATATACTATAATAATAGATGACATTGTAATATATGGGATGTGAAAGAATAGATAATATGTATTATACTTATATATAGTTACACAGACCACTATATATAGTTATTAATATATATTACATATACTCATATTTACATTTTATATGTATTACACATACATTATAGAAATATATTTATGTACATGTATGTGTTATATATATTACATATACATATATCTACATACATAGTATTATATATAAAATATATAATATAATGATATATATGATACGTGCTACACAATATATATGCTATGTGATGTATATTACAGTATTTATTGATTATATATTATAATACTTATATATTTTATAAGTATTATATATTATATATAATATATATAATAATATATATATTTTATAAGTATTATATATTATAATACTTATATTTTTTATGTTATAACTGTATTTTATAGTCTATTAATTGATTATTAATTAGTATTATATATTGATTATATATTAATTAATTGATTGCATATAACTAAATAATAATACATTCAATTTTAAAGCACTGTTCTCTAAAGAAGAAATGCTGTGGCATTTGATGTTTGGGGAAGATGTTCCCTGAGCTTTCTGCCCTTCCCGTGTACCATCATCATCAATAATAACAATAATGATAATAACAATCTCCAATTAAAAGCGCTATTTTCCACACAGCACTGTGCCATCTGATGCTTGGGGTAGGTGTTCCCTGAGCCTGCTGCCCACGCAGCAGCAGTGTGCCCCAGCACAGACACAGACAGTGCACGTACCCTGAGGCCAAAAGGTCACTAACGGGATTCCAGGCACAGATGAACACCTCGGACTCGTGGCCACGCAGCACCACTGCCTTGTTGGGAGGGATTTCCACATCTCCATCTACTTCCATCATATCCGTGTGATTATCTGCATTATGGGAAACAACAGTACAGAGCGGCGGATTTTAGTATTTTGGGATGTTGCGACTCCTGTATGGTTCATATTCTTATGCCATGAGTGCAAAAATTCACAATTTATGCGATTCAAAAATTTGACGGAGCTGTCATGCTCTTTTATTTTTTCAGTTCCAATTAATGAAGCACTATAAACAGATGGGGAGTTTCGAAAATGTGAGAAAACTCTTCGCCCCTGTAAACCTTCACATCCAAATGGATTTAAATTTGGAGCTTCAGAATTAGGGCCAAAAGTTAAATTTTCGCTATGCTAAAAAATAAATGCTGTTACAAGTACTCTGTTTTTCAGGCCCAATAGTACAATATGTTACTAGTCTAGCTTGTGCTGTAGGAATACATTTATAACATATTCCTTTTCAAAAATCTTTTTCACCAATTGCAGTCAAACAGGTTTTAAATCTACATCTCCAACACTCCATTTACAAAATGCCTTTAATGAATATAATCACATTTGGTGATAGAGTTAACATAACCAAGCTTCTCCAACTTCATCAGCAATTGCCATGGAATTATGGCAGTGTAACTTTCTGCATGGAAGTGAGACTGAAACCATATTGTTCTGTAGAACATACTGGGGGTAATTCAACTGACAAAACAGTTTTCTCGGCATCTACCATCAATCATTTTCTGTTATTAAAACTAAATTCATGATGAGTGCAAATGCAGAATGTAAGGAATGCTGCACAGTTCACCTGCTCTATATTTATTCACTGCGGTTAAAGAAATCATTTCACAGCTATTGCTTAATTTAGCATTAAGGGTTTCTGTCACTGTTTGTGCATGTGAGAAAATAGAAAAGGCTATTAAAACATGAGTATTTTTTCAGAAAAAGCACCATATAAAGCATTGTTTCAGTCAAAGGATCGATGCCAGTCTGAAGTGCTGTACAGCCAGCAGGGGTTGCTGGTAGATCACATTTAACAGGGCTGAGATCTGAGGTCTACCCTTCCTCTATCCAGTTCAGTTTTCAAGTAAATACTCATTTGAGATTTTTAAATTAAAGCATCAAAGTAGAGACCTTATTTGTTTCAGCTAAAGAATGTATTTCTAGCTCTTTATCATATATACTAATGAAAAACCTAGTAAAATCAGGCTGTAAAACTTGTACATGGCTCAATATTAATATTCTCTCAAAAATGTAATTTCTTCAGGTGTTTTGACAGAAAGAACTGTAACTCCTACACTTAAACATGCAATTCAGACTTCCAGAAGAGTATTTTCAAAATCACAGTTTAATGCCTGACCCAAACTTTTCCATACTAAGCCTCATTGTAAGATATGTTCCTTTGACCAGTGATGACAAACAGACCCCATTTATTTCACCAACCACAACTAAAATGGTATTCATAAATAAAGCAAACCTGAGAGCAGTTACACTGAGCAATTTTGACTAGCAAATAGTGAAACCTGATATTGATAAAAGAGACTAGGGACACAGGGCTCGTCCCAGCAACCCTGACCTCAGTATCACTAGAAAAGCCAGGCACAGCTCTTGGATCCATGGGTTTTACAGAACTTTTTGGAAGGAATTTGCAGAGCTTCACCAGCAATAGTCAGTTTTAACCAGCCATGGACTGGACTCTCCTCAGGAATTGCTCAATTTTTTTTTTCCTTTTTATGCAAGGGCCCTGTGAAAAACCTTCAGGTGATGGAAAAGAAGTAGTACTGGAAGTGAGACCAGCCAAGGGAATATTGTGAATTAATAAATTCAGAACTTTGACTCCTGCAACCCCAGATATCAAAACTGGGGACAACCAAAGGTGAGACACAATCTGTTCGAGTATGACCCGTGATGAAGGAATTCTCTGCAAGCTGAAGGGTTACTCCAAACTCTATATTTTTACCTCATTGTCTACAAGCTCATACAATGATAAAGAACTAGGAAATGCTAACCCAGCTTAAAGCAATTTCTGTCTCAACTTACTTGCTATAGTGTGTGCTCCGTTCTCCTCTCCATTTGCAGTATTTTCTCCATTTTTCGCTGATCCCTGTTGGTTGGTGGTGGCTGCAGCTGCAGCAGCTGCTGCCTGCTGTTGTGCAAGTTTGTCTCTGTAGGCCTGTTGTCTTGTCTGTACCACATCAGGCATCACTGCATCTATCAGTGAGAGAGACTCTATCGGCCTACCATCAAACAAGGTACCATCCTAAATTACAGCACAGGGAGAAAAAAAAAAAAAGATAACACCAAGTACAAATTAACATTACAGGCAAAAATTCCAAGCAAAACTGAAGAAAACATTTTGATTTAATATAACAAAGCAGTCTACATATGGTGCTGGAAGTGATATATCATCATTGCTGTGGTCAGGACTGGAATTTTAGTCTGAAGTTAAGTGGTCACCATAAATATGCAAAAAAAGCCACTGCAGGCCTCTGGGAGAGCCTGTGGAATCAAAAGTTTCTTGTTTCGAGTTTGCTGAATTGTCTGCTAAAGCAAAAAATTCTGTAAGCTAGCTATGAATATGATTTCAAACATGAGTGGCTGCAGCAAAATCTAATGGTTTGTTTGAAGAGAGAGCTGCAAACATTGCAACTCGGGTCACTGACTTGTGAAGTTATAGTCTTATTAGACTAATACTTTCCATAAACATATTATCTGGGGAGTTGACTAGTTTTCTTCCTTTTTTTAAACTGTGCTGGCATGCTTTCAAACAACAAGGAAGAATTTTATCCTGAAATGGACAAGACCCAGTTAAAAATACTCTTATACATATGCTAGGGCTTTGTAAGGATCTATTTTTAGGGACTAGAAGGATTCCTTGTAATAAATATAGGGTCTTCTTCTTCTATTCCTATCACTTGCTTTATTTTTCTGAGACTTCCTAAGGGAAAGGATTTGCTTCACTAGGACTGTGAAAACCACACAAACAGCAGACATAAGGGAGACTGGAAAGTGAGCAGAATTAATGGGAAAAAAAAAGGTTTCCTCAGTAATCTGATTGACACACAGAAAGGCTTCTCACCTTCCAGGCACAAATGAGAATGGAAATTGAGGGAGAGTGTCTGCAGCATCAGGCAGAAAGATACATAGCTTTCTGTACTGCTGGAATAACCATTTAAACATCAAATTTAACAAGTCCTGCTCAAGATGAATTAGCCAGCAGAGGCAAAAGGCAAACTGGCATATACCTTCAGCCTTCCTGCCACAAATTCAAACCCCCTCTCTCCTTGGAAATCTTGCCTTTGGGCTCACATTACTTCACTGTGATGACACAAGAGCCCAAACAAGAGCTGCACAGTGCTCTCCCATCTCCCTAGTGCCAGTGTACAAACCAAAAAATGAAGAGATTGATGCTCTCCATTATTATCCTATTGCACTAGATGCACTACAACATTAGAGGAGGGTGAAAACTCTGCAGACAATGGATCTTCAAGCAATGAGCCAGAACACCATGCCTGGTGTTGAGTGGCTGCACTGGGCAAAACCCCACCCAGTTATGTCACTCCACTCTGGTTCCACCACTAGAGTCATGGTGAACACGAGCAGAAAGTAAGGAATATGAAGTAAAAAGCATAGAAGAAAGTTAAGAAAAAATACTAACATTCAAACTTAGCGCAAGCAAGGACACAGCACTCCTGCAGGCAAAGCCTCCTTACCTCATTAATACTGACTTCTGCCTCTACATACTGCAGACCTTTCTGGATGATGGAAATCAAAGCAGCTGGTGGCACCAGAGCACCATTTATATTAGACTGGCTGATATGGCTCTCTATACCAAAGGTAAATGCTGAATGGGAAAACCCTAAAACAAGGCAAAGATGTCAGAATTTATTTACAGATAGACAATGCTACTTGCTGTGCCATGGTAGGACCTTCTGTTTAACACCTGAGCAAATTACACAAAGTATAATGCTACAGCATACTTCTGAACTACCAAAAACTTGTCAAAACACCTCAATTCCCTCACAGTTTAAGTGTACAAAAAGAGAAAAGCGAAGTTCATATATAAACACAACAATTATTAATTACAGTATCAATGGCAAAACATTTGTGCACAAGTCAGTATAAAATACAAAATTCACTATAGCATTTAAAAGTGTTCATATATTCACAAACTGCATGTAAGCATTGTATGATTATGTAGTATTTAATAAAATATATATATATCTCCAAGACACAAGACTCACTTGCTATTTTCACTGATTTGATACTCATGAAAGTTAAATGAATCTGTATGTGAACAGAATTCAGCTCATAGTGCCACAATTGTATATGCTCTGGCATTTAGAGCTACATCAGCACTGTGCACTGAGTAAGAAGTGGCAAACATGTTATGGTGCAGCAATGGTAGCTGCTTGCTATTTATTTGATCACTTTGAAAAACTGAATTTAAGCTAGAGAAAAATAGTTGTTTCAGCAAGTTAACTATTGTCATGGCATTTTTTCTTAAACCACTTTATTTTTATTTTTTTTTCTTTTTCCCTGTCAGGTAAGCAAGAAGCTGCCTGCAAACTTTCAAATGAAGATGAAGCAATTTTGTAAGTTTGGCTTCTATGACAAAAGCAATCTGCAACTGGAATAAGAGCGTGTAGTAGTTTTCAGTAAATTCGGGCAGAAAAATGAGGTTTTGCTTTCTTTTGACAAGCAGAAACTGTAAAAGTCTGTCATCCACCATTGCTTCTGGAGTTTCTCTCCTCAATTTGGGAAGTCCAGGAGCAGTGGACATATGTTGCATCAGCCAAATGCATTTCCAACAAGCCTGAAGCCACCCATCAGCAATCACTAAACAAAAACTACAAATCAATAAAGACTGAAATAGCAAGGTAAAATATGAAATATATGTGTACATTTTCTTATATATCTATATGTATATACATTAAAGCTGATCTCTTAAACTCCAGTCTTAAGATTAAAGTGTATTTTTGCTTTAATATGCAGACTTCTTTTATGTATTGCTGAAATCATATTCCCTCCTGCCAGCTGACAATCATCACTTGTTCATTTACTGGGGCATGCCCTGACTCCCAGTCAGATCTTCCCATTCTAAATGTAGGTTGTGTTAAGCAATCAATATCACAGTTGTGAGTAAAAGATGATGTTGTCTCTTACAGAGCTTCACGAATAACCACCACCACAAAACTCCCTGAAGCCATATGGCTGCATCTAGAAACCCAAACATGCAACACAAACTCAAACTGCTGATCTGACTGGGCTGGGGAAGCTTTAAAAATAAGGGAGCACTGCTGCATTCTCGTGTTGTGCAGACACAGTGTGAAGAGATATGATAGGAAAAGGGTTTCCTTTCAAGTCTGACAATATTCAAGCGTCTTTTGCTCTTTCTCCTAAGAAGCAGGAGATCCTGGCTACTCAGAAAGATCCTCCAAAAGAAGGTCCTGGAGGGATGGAGGCTTTTGGGAACCTCAAGGGTTATTCCTGTAAAAAATCTGTTCACCTCTATTTAGAATCAAGTGATACAAGTCATAGTCACAGCTGTCACTTCTTCCTTTGAGACACAGACACATCTGCCCTCCCACAGTCACGTTCAGGCAAGGAATTCAGCTGCACAAGACCAGCTGGCAGGAGCACCATCACTCCAAAACAACAGGAAAAAACAGCATTTTGCTGATCTTTCTATTTTCTTCTTCAAGGAGCCCTGAAGAAAACGGTGCAAAGTGCCATCATCACCCTGTGGAGAAGTGATCTCCAGGAAAATGCATTTTAGCAACCGAGTGAGTCCTTGGCTGCTTGACTGCCATCTGAAGACTCCAAATGACTAAATCTGATTAAGTTACAGAAGGTAACTTGGCAGGAATTCACTCTCTTGTTGAGAAGAAACACCAAGAAACAGTTCAGACAGAATCCATGCCTACTGGCAAAATAATTAAATGAGCCTGTGTTTGCTAAAGCCAGCTGCAGATCAAGATCAAATAAATTATGCATTGTTTAATAACCAGAATTGTAAAAACTCACCTGACTCTTGCAAGTATCTATATACCAGGAAGTTAACCTCATCACTGCTTATACTCATCTTTATTCCCAGTTAAACCATGAGGTCACAACAAAGGACACAACCCTGCAAATAATAAAAAAAAAGTAGGTCAATTAAATATTTTTAGTACCTAATAGGTATTTCCCAACAAATGCTATATTTATAAAGTAAGTAGCTCCCTGGCAACCTAGACAATGGCTTTATTTTATAATGCAAATAAGTCTACTGGAGTCATTAAAAAGTCATTTGTCTCAAATAAATAAAGGTCAGTAAATTAAATATTAACGGGCTGGATTCTCATATGATGCAAGTTGGTATGGACTGGAGAACTCTGCTGTTTAATACTAAAAGTACTAAAAAAGGCGTCCTATCACAGGTTTTAAAAAAAAAAAACAAAGTTTCATCCAATCTATATGACTGCTATGGAACACATTATTTATAACATGGGTCTCTCTCTGCCTGCTTAACAAAGACCAAAAACTTTGTTTCAATTGGCATCCAGGCAGGTTCTCACTTTTACATTCTTATCTACTCCAATTTTCAGGTGTTCCTGTTCTAGTGAAAAGGTGCAGAACAGAGTGAGCTACAACATTGTCTGTTCAAACAAGCCCAGCTTACCCCACCAAAGACTAGAAAACAGCTCAGCCGTACCTTTTGGCTTTGCAACAGGAATACTTGACATTAGAAACAAACTTTAAACTTTAGTAATGTTTCCCTAGGGTTTCAATCAGTGCTTCAAAAATATTGATGGGATATATATATTTACACACACACAATTTTTTTTAGAAAGACAAATCATGTATCAGGCTATATATACTTTTGATCATAAACTTGGAAAATATGAGGCAGCAGCAATCTTTAAGACATGAAGAGACAGAATGCAGTGTTTTTTCTAACCCGAAGTCTCATTTTTGAGAACATTCTCATGATGCCTGAATGTTTGAAAACTCTGACCTTTCCAAGTAAACAAGTGAAAACATCAGCTTTCAGAACATGTTATGAAATAACGTCCACCTCCTGTTCCAATTATCTGTCCAGCACTTTCCATCAGCAAACCTTCCCAGGTTTTTACCCAGCTGACCACCACCATTGCTTTTCCTACAGAACTGGAGTCTGAGAAGGCAAAGTGACTTTCCTACTGTTACTTGACAAAGTTTTACCTGGGATCTGATGCAAAAAAGTACTAGAGAGTGACTTTTCCTACAACAGGGCTCCTGCCACATGGCTGCATGGACAGGCCACTTGCCACTGCTGCTCCAGTGGGGAAGTGTTGGACACAAGATCCAGTTAAACACCTCAAGAAGAGCAGAGGCTAAAGGATTAACTTGGGTATGAAAATGAATTTATTTGCCTGAAACCACACACAGACATCCCCAAACCTGCCCCAGGCACGTGGTCACCCAGCTCACAGCCAGGCTGTGGGGGGGAGATGGCTTTAGTTTCTTAAGGAAAAATATAAAATTTCAGTTCTACTTAAATCCTTTTCATTTCTAAAGGAAAAAGCTGCCCCAGGACAATGACTTCTAGTTAGTGCAACAGGACTGATACAGGGATGTACATTGATACCAACCCTACCCACCTCTCCACAGCCCCAGCCACACCTGGGGAACAAGACATCACTGTCAAACTCCACTATATACTTTGAGGACTTGTTTACTGAGCAGAATGTAAAATAAATGACATTTTTAGCCATTTCATGCATTAGCAACCAATTCCAGCATGTGCAGGACCAAAAACTGATTTTATTTAGCTAAGTTTTGTTACCATACATGGAGCAAATTATCTTTAAGATTGTTTTTAACAGAAAAATGCTGTAGGAAGAGGAACAATATTTTCCTTCAGAGGAGAAGGCAATTAACTTTAAAGAGACTCATAAAGCAGGTTTTTTTATATTACGTACACACACACAAATGGCAGTGTTTGTTTCATGGGTCTGTCACAGAGTTTCAAAATCTTGCTGCATCACCAAAAACGATAGATCAAACCACAGAAATCGGATGAAAGTGCTATTTGTCACACAGAGAGATCCTGAATTATTTATATAAAGAGGGCTCCCCCCTCAAAGCAGAACCGTGCAGGTGCCACATCAATTCACCTGTTATGTAGCTGGGTAGCTGAAGGGGAAAAAAAAAACAAAACCCAACGTTTTGCTTGTCTGTCAAAAGTGTTCTGCACCCCAGATGAATCAAAGCAGCCTCATTTTTCCAAGGCTGGTTCCAAGTGTTTTGCACAAGCAGCTCTGGTCCTGCCCAGCCATCAGGAGGTGGCACTGCAGCACCAGCTGTGGCACCCTGGCCACCAGAAAAACACAGAAACAGCCCCAATAAACACACAGTTTGCCTGGTGAGTGGCTTGAAACTGGAAAGGGTGCAAAAGGTTCCAGTGTTTTAACAAAATACTGCTTTGCACATATTTTCAGTGCTCTGGAAGGGCTTTTCTGTGTTTCCCCCACCCCAGGCCCTGTGGCTCGGGCAGAGCCTGGGGACAGCATCCCACAGCCAAGTGACACAAGAAATGTCAGAAGAACGAGCAGGAGCAAGCCACCTTCCTTCCAACCCAAAGCAAAATGTCATGTTAAAGAGAAAATACAGTAGAGGAAGATACAATCATTATTTCCCTGTGACACATTCTGAATTAACACCAGGCTTACACTGCCCACTCTCACATTGTTTGTGACAACGGACCCATGCATGTACACGTGTACCCCACATCCTAAAAAAATTACTTCATCAATGCTGGCTAATTCCCCCAGATTCCCTATTTTCACAAGCAATCAACTACGCATTTTGGACACTTTAATAGATATTAATATTGCTCTTCATTTTATATGCAGAAATTAAATCACCAAAGAGACACATAAAAATGAGACAAAAATAAGAAGTTAACACGTAATTCCTAGCAGTCTTAGATTTGCAGCCTAATTTGTATGGGGACAATTATAATATCTTAAAATATTTGCAGCTTTATGCCCCAAACCCATTCTAAAAATGTAATGAGATCCTTAAGGACCTTTTTCTTTCTTGCCCTTAGAAACATTTCAGGTCTTCCTCAAAACATTCTGAGGAATTACATGGTAAAGTATGATGCACCCACACTGCTGTTTTAGATCCAATTATGCTTTTAAAGGAAATCTCTCCCACTTGCCTCTACTTTTGTTTTGCACCCTGGAGCAGGCACAGCACATGTGAAGTTGATTCCTCACTGGTAAAACCAGGATTAAATAAATAAAATACCCCATGACAGGTAAAAAAATGATGGGCATGAGAGCTTATGAACAATGCTCAAATTGCTCATGGGACCACACCAGGGTCGATATTCCCTGCTCAAAAGCAAGTCCATTTCAGCAGGCCTCTTCCCAGATTTTATTTCCCTTCCCAGAGGATGGGCCTGTAGTTTGTAACACCACTGCTCAGTTAGAATCAGCACAACATCCAGATATCTCAGGTAATTTTTAAGACTGCTACAGAAAGTCCCTGAAGTCCCAAAATTTATCAGGCATAACACATATCAGCCATAAAAGCCAACTGTCTATAGAGATGCTAGCCTTGAGATTTACTCCGTGACAGGTCAGAAGCAGACAAGACACACACCTGTGCTTTAGACAAACTGACCCGCTCATTCCATGCCAGGAATCACACAAAAAATTCATTTGGAAGCTACTTTTTCCAAAGGAAACTAGGTTTCTTATCCCAGAGACAACACCAGCTCTGGCTTTGCTCCCAGCCTGGCAGAAGTGTGTCTGTGTTTCTGTGCCCAAGGCAGATGGGGCAGGTCCCACCCCAGCGCCTCTGTCCCTCGTGTACCATTCACACACTTCATACCTGGGACAAAATTTACAACTAAAATCCATTAAAAAGGAGATAGAATTCCACTCTCACCAACACCAGGTCTAATCAGTGCCCAGTGGTGCAAACCTGGCTGTGCTTCTGACAAATCATTATTCCACTCCACATGTTTGTGCTAGCTTTGTACTCCTTGTCCAGGCTCATGCCCAGTGCTGGAGAACAGATGCCACCCGATATGGCTCCTGGCCTAATAGGTTTTTTGGCTGTTTAGGGGTTTTTTCAGACAAACCCGAACTGCCAGAGAAAGTTTATACATCAGATTATTACTGGGTATCTCTTAATCACCATTTGATAATGTATACTGGAGTTACACTACAATTAGAGTTATTGTATCATCAAATAACAGCCTAAGAAAGTGATATTTCTGCAGTTGTAGGTGGGATCCAACATTCCCAATAGGTAGGGTAACAGGAAAACCTGACAGGTTGCTGTGAATAATAAAACATACCAATCATTAAAACATACCAATCATTAGTTTGATACCAAATATGATATGTTAAAGGGAGCAGCTAATGCTCTGGGTAGCTCTGATGAATGCTTAATGTTCAGACATAAACACACATTTATCCATGGAAAACAGAACTCTGGCTACAGAAACAATAATAGCCCTACAACAGAAATATTGCCATTAGAGCTTTTTTTTCCCTCCTCTTTTGCAAGAAATCCAGACAAGTATTTTGCTAGCACATGTGCACATAGACATTTTATCAATTGTTGCTTAAGAGTATTTCTTGGTTTTAATGGCCATGATGGTTAAAATAAAAAGTGCAAAGGGTGCAGTTTCAATCCAGCCACTCAGACCAAATTCCTGGAGGTGTGAGGTTTCAGCAGGAATTCATTCAGATGCCAAAGCCACCACAGGTTACAGAACTGGAGATTTAAACCACAAAACACCATTCCTTGAGACTGCTGTTCTACTAAAGCTTTTTCCAAATGCTCTTCCCCAAGACATGGTGGTTCCATCCCCAATGGCTGAGGAAATTCCTAAGTTTATATCCAAAGAAGAGTTCTGCATAGCCCTTTAGAAATGCTTTATAAAGGAAAACTCATACAATTAATTAGCGGTTCCTTTACATCAAGCATGCAGTCTATGACTCGTGTTGTACATCATTCTGCGTAAGAATTTATTAAACACCAATTTCAATCAAAATGAACATTTTATCACACTGTAAAAAGGAAAGAAAAGGTTGACTTTTCTTCAAGTGTACCAACTACTTGCTCCAAAGACTCCTATTTGCT